TTTATCACTTATGGTTCAAAATCAGTTTAAAGCAGTTGGGTGGACAGATGCTGGCTGGGGAATTCTGGGAGTTGAAGTCCACTCATCTTAAAGCTGCCAACTTTGAAAAACACTGCTTCAAACCAACCTGTATGCAGCTTTCTGTTTTTTCTTTCCAGTTGCGAATAACGGTTTCCTCCCCCCCCCCCCTTCTAGATAGCAGATGGCTTAGGCAAAGTTCAAGGCTCCTTGGGAAACATTGCAAGCAAAAGAGAGAGAGTTAAAATTCTTTTCAAAAAAAGTAAGTGATTTTCTTTTCTTTTTTTTCTAATAGAAAATGCTGGTTTGTCCTATCAGCTGCCTTAAAAGGGGTCTCATAACTGCTGAATGTGGATGAAGCCTGATTTAAACTGATGGTGTTACCAGATTGTTTCCTGAATGTAATGCAACTTTCATAAAGATGAATTTTCATCACATTGGTTTTTGGAGCTTTTTGATTTGAGTTTTAATTAAGCATGTTTGCTGCCCACAATCTGTTGGTAGTGGAGTTTTAAGGCGGCAAGAATAATTAACTCTCAGTTAATAATAATTTAGCATTAATACTTGGCCAACCCTATTCATCTAGAACAGGGGCCAGGGCTCTCCAAACTTGGCAACTTTAAGACTTGTGGACTTCCAGAATTCCCCAGTCAGCCATGTGAAGTTGCCAAGTTTGGAAATCCCTGATTTAGGACAGTTCCAAGAAAAAGCAATCACAAGACTTGTTACTGTCCTTTTAAGCATCCAGCATATGCTTCTATCATTGCTGCATTCTAAAATTCAAATTCTGTTTTATGTTGTTCCTTCTCTAAGTCGAAGACATCCTAAAATACCTGGATCCCCAGTACATTGACCGAATGGCCGTGCCAGATGCCATGAAACTGCAGTTCATATTGGCAGGTAGATCTATTGCAGGCCCCTATATTCTGGATTTTTAGCAGTAGATTTTTAATGTATAAAATGCTGACTTGCACTAGAACGACTTTTTGTCATTCACTTTTTAAATTGAAATGATCCGAATGCTATATTTCAAGCACAGTTTTTAGGTCATAATCATGTGCACGTTTACCTGGCAATGATCCTTATGTTCCTCCAACACTGGATCCTCCAACACTGGAAGTTTTAAAAAATATTTTGGATAGCCATTTGTCTGAAATGGTGTAGGGTTTCCTGCCTTAGCAGGGGGTTGGACTAGAAGACCTCCAAGGTCCTTTCCAACTCTGTTATTCTATTCTTAATCAATGGTGCATAGATCTAAACAGATCAGTTTTAAGTTATCTTCAGGTTTGTTTTTAGATAGCCTGCTTTGATGAGTTATTAATCTGTGGGGTCCTTGGTGCCCCCTGAACTGGGTGGTTTTCTTGCAGACATTTCATGACCTAACTAGGTAACATCATCTATGCTATAGGAGAGAGAGGCTTTGCAGAGTGGAGGAGGAGGAAGAGAAGGATTGTGGGGTGTTCTCTGGGCTTTGTGGTTTTCTCGCAGTCGTTTTATTACCCAACTAGGGAACATCATGAGTGCTTGTTAATCATCTGCTTCAGGGCACAGGTCACGTGATCTGTTGCTACTGGACCAGCAATATAGTTTTTGCCTGACTTATGTCGTGCTTTTCCCACCACCAGAAGAACAGTCCATCATGACGCAGGCAGCACTTCTGGAGCAGGTGAAGAGCCTGCAGCCCTATTTGGACAGCGCACATATCAAAGGTGAGTGACTCCCTGTCCTTTATCCCTGAGGGAATCAAGATCACAAGAAAGATGTTGAGACTCTAGAAAGAGCGCAGAGAAGAGCAACCAGGATGATTAGAGGACTGGAGACTAAAAGATATGAAGAACAGTTGCAGGAATTGGGTATGTCCAGTCCAGTGAAGAGAAGCATGATAGCAGCATTCTAATATTTGAGGGGCTGCCACCAAGAAGAGGGGGTCAATTTATTCTCCAAAGCACCAGAAAGCAGGACAAGAAGTAACGGATGGAAAAATAATCATGGAGAGAAGGGAGTTAGGAGAAATTTCCTGACAGTGAAAACAGTTCCTCAGTGGAACACTTGCCTCTAGAAGTTGTGGGCGCTCCAACACTGGAAATTCCTAAAAGAGATTGGACAACTGCTTGTCTGACATGGTATAGGATCTCCTGTCTGAGCAGAGGGTTGGACTAGAAAACCTCCAAGGTCCCTTCCAACTCTGTTATTCCGTTCCTTATGCCAAGCCTACGGCTATCACACTTTCCCAAAGGATCAGCTGCTCACTTGATTATGATTCATAAATATAGGTGGTCCTCAATGTACAACCATTTGTTCAGCAATCGCTTCGTGGTGGAGAGCTGGTGGCTTCCTGGGCACCGACTCAGCTTCTTGCCTTAACAAAAAACTTTTATTTGTAGTTTGAAGGGAGAGGATCATAATGGGGGATTTTTCGGAGCTGAACTGTTTCCTGGATAGCCCCCAAGGGCCATTGGGGGGAGATGGGGCCCCTGTTTCCATTTTGAACAGTCGTAACAAGAGCCTGGCTTCTATTTTTTTTGTGGTCTCTTGCAGCTTCTCCTGATCATGCCACCAAGCTCCAGCGACTTTCACAAATACACCTTCAGCAACAGGTCAGCGCTGAGCTGGAAAATGCTCTGAGAACTCGCCTCCAGAAGCCTGTGTCCACTCCCACCTGAGGCCCCACCTGTCTGTAGCAGACCCATCACCTTCGTTATGAGCAAACGTCCAAAATCAAATATCACTGGTTAGATTGTGCTGGGGTTTGTCCCAACTCTGTGCGGTAGGGAGTCAAAGGAAAAGCAAGCGTGGCAGCTGCATCTTCAATCACACAACTGCCTTCTTGTTCCAAAGTTCCTTTTTCAAGAGGTGACTGGACTTTCTGGTTTTCCTTTGAAGACATTTCGCTTCTCATCCAAGAAGCTTCTTCAGCTTTTGGATGAAGAAGAGCTGAAGAAGCTTCTTGGATGAGAAGCGAAACGTCTTCAAAGGAAAACCAGAAAGCCCAGTTGCCTCTTGAAAAAGCACCTTTGGGACAACCATGACCTGGATGGCTGACAACCTCCATAGAAACTGCCCTCTTGCAGGTTTGGACAAACACAGAAGCTTTTAGGGTCAGACAGGCTGCATTTATGTGAATGTCCTCATTTGGGGGGGGGGGTCATTGCACTGTATAGTGGACCATAAATTAATAGAAAACCAAACTTAAAACTGACCAAACTTCTTCACTTGGTATATGAATGCAGCCACTAGGTCTTGATCTAGTCTGGTTAAATAAATGGGATAAACAGTAAATTACAGCAAAGAACTTGTGGCTAGATCAGGAAACTCATACTGTAGAGGTAGCATTAAAAGGTTATTTCCTATGATTCAGAAGTTGCTAATAACAAATTTCCCTGAGGAAATTAAAATCTCTCTCAATTGGCAGCTGTTTCCCAGCATCTTGAGAGCAGAGAAATTCTACCATTTATCTACATGCTACCAACAAAGTCCTGTCTTTAAAGCGATGGTGCTAAATTTTCCACATTTTGTTTTAATCCCAAATCTTTAACAGTTTGCAAGATTAAGAAACAAGTCACCCTGCCTGTGGGGTGAAATGGAGCATTTGCAGCATTTTAGCACTTAAAATGCCCAATCCCAGATAAGAAAATATGGATTGACTGAACTCTTCTCATCCTGCAGGATCAGTGTGAAGCTGTGACCGAGACCATCCGGTTACTTCTGGAAGATTACAACAAAATGATATCCTTTTTCTCACCAAGTTTGGAATGTGTAATATTGTGCTGCTCACCTGGAACTGCCCCTGTTTCACTAGCTCAGCTTTCCTCTGGGTTATTTATTTGTACCAGAAGCATCAAGTCTTTCATTTACCATGAGAGTTTCTTGGGTTGTCCAAATGAGAGTTTCATTTGCTTGCTTCTGATTTCACAGAATCCTAGAATCCTAGGGCTGGAAGGGACCTTGGAGGTCTTCTAGTCCAACCCCCTGCCCAAGGCAGGAGACCTCCAACCATCCTGGATTAATGGTTGTCCAGTCTCTTCTTAAAAACCTCCAGTGTTACAGCACCCACAACTTCTGGAGGCAACTTCCACTCCACTGATTGATTATTCTCACCGTCAGGAAATTTCTCCTTATTTCTAGTTTGTCTCCTTGATTAATTTTCACCCATTACTTCTTGTTCTGCCTTCAGGTGCTTTGGAGAATAGATTGAAAAACACACACACACACACCCTTATTTTTTTCCTGTGACAGCCCTTCAAGTATTGGAAGATGCTATCGCGCCTTCCTTAATCCTTTTCTTCATTAGGCTGAGCATGTCTCCAGCCATTTTTTTTCCAGCTTTTCTCAGCTCCTCTTTTCCTTAAAGATTTCTTTGCAGACCCTCCTCCTTTCCAAACAGTTTGTCCAGTGGGATGAGATGCTGACCCAGCTGGAAGCTGCCAAGCAGGTGAAGCCCACACCTGAGTGAAGACCAGGCTTTGGAGCCCTTCTGTTGGGCTCCAGGTGGATCTCCTGCGTCAGATCCCAGATCTCCACGTTAACAGCTCCTGCCTAGGAACCCGTTAGCGCTCCTTGAGCTTCATCCGGTATCGTGGCATCCAAGGGTATCCAATCTTGGCAGCTTTAGGTCTTGTGGACTTCAACTCCCAGAATTCCCCAGGCTGAGGAGTTCTGGGAGTTGAAGTTCACAAGTCTTAAAGTCACCCAGGTGATATCAATCTGGAAGCTACATCCTGACCCTTTGGAGCTAAATTATATCATCTTTAGAGTTTAATTTATTTTTAGTCTTCATTCAGCCAATTCGTGGGGAACGCATGACTTGTTGCAAATACCTGTTATTGTGGACCACAATAAAATCCTCATGAATCCTCAACCGTCTGGCTGGCCTTTGGTTATTTAAGGCAGCGTAGGAACTCATTCGTCCTTTTAGAATCACATTGAAGGCACCAGAGAGATGGGAGTTACATTTTTGGAGTGGCTTAAGCCTTCAGAATAAGCCTTAATAAATTACATTTCCCTCTGACAAAACCTTGGTAGCCACATTTTCTTCATAGGTCAGATTTAAACGCTGCCCGTTTCATTCTCGTAAAAACCACCCAGTTTCCTTTCCGGAAGATGAGTCCCTTAAAATTAGCAGGAAAGATTTTTACTAAAAGAGAAACAGACACTGAGAATTTGTCACTTTTTAACAGAGAATTCTTCTTGATGCTTCCAAAGAATTCTCTTTGTCAAGAGATCTCGAAGCGGATGATGGGAAAGAAATATGAAATTAGTTGGAGTCAAACACGGCAATTTGGATTCCTCAGACATCCAAGAGCCACAAAGTACTGATCAATGTTAGCAGTTGTTCTAGGCAACCCCTCCTTTACCTCCCTCCCATCTTCTCTTACTCTCCTCTTCTTCCTCCTCGCCCTCCCTTCTCCCGTCCTCTTCCCCCTCCCATCTCCTCCTTTCTCTTCCCCTCCTTGTCCTTCCTCTTCCTCCCGTCCTCTTCCTCCTCCCCATCTCCATCTTCTCTTCCTCTTCTTCCTCACCTATTCTTCCTCCTCCCTCTTTTTCCTTCTCCTCCTCCTCCTCTTCCATCTTTTCCTCCTTCTCCCACTTCCTTCCCTCCCCCCAATAGAGGCAACTGTGGCCAATGCCATTGAGCAACACCCCCTTTCACTTCTTGTCTCTCTGAATTTTCACATGTTTTAGGGCAGATTCCTGGAATTTCCACCCATCTCCTGCAGATTGGTGTGAATTGAGACTTATTCTACGGATCAAATCCTGTCCCTATTGAGTGACTAAAAATTGACTGCCCTAACTCAGAATTTACAAGCAGCAACTAATCTGTGCCTGCATGTTCTGCCCAAACCAAACCACAAGGTGGCTTAATAGCTTACTGGGGTTTACACAGAATTCTCAGATGAACTGAGGTCCCCAAAACATCCTGAACCACAAACTACACAACCTCATTTCAGCCTGGCCTAGGACCCTGTTCCAACCAAGGCGAAGGCACTCTACTTCCCATGTGGAAAAAGACAAAATACTGCATTAGTTCATCAGCCTTCTATGCAAAGAGTGTAGACTGGACCCAACAGGAATGCTGCCTCTAGGAAAACCTGAAATTGGGAAACGATACAACGAACAGTGAAAGGTTTTCTCTATGTTCAAAAGAGTAGAACTTGTTTTATTTCTTAAACGCATTTCTATCCTGCAATCAAAAAGGACCCATAGTGGCGCAGCGGTTACAATGCAGCATTGCAGGCTGACTCTGCCCACTGCCAGCCTTTCCATTCTGACCAACTCCAGGTTGACACAGCCTTCCATCCTTCCAAGGTTGATAAAACGAGGACCCAGATTGTTGGGGACAATTTGCTCACTCCGTAATCCACCTTAGGTCTGCAAAGCACTCTGAAGCGGTATATAAGTCTAAGTGCTACGGCTAAAAAGATCCTCGGTAGCTTATATAGAATCATCCATGGTAGCAATAGCACTTAGACTTGTATACCGCTTCACAATGCTTTACAGCCCTCTCAAAGCGGTTTACAGAGTCAGCATATTGTCCTCCAACAATCTGAGTCCTCATTTTACCCACCTCGGAAGGACGGAAGTCTGAGTCCACCTGGAGCCTGGTGGGATTCGAACTGCCAGAATGTAGGCAGCTGGCTGCAGAAGTAGTTTGCAGTGCTGCACTCTTAACTGCGCCACAGAGGCTCCTAATCACCTTTCTAGCAACACAAATACAAAAGCAAGAATCAGCCAAAAATACAAAAGTGAAAACAATGCAAATGGAATCTAAAATGATTTCAGTTTGAATGCAATTGGTTCATTCTGAACACAGTAACATCCGAACCTGGAAGAGGTTGTGCACACTTATTGCAACCATTATGCTAGTGTCAGTTTTGTATTGTTCTTTTTTTTTTCATCCTAAAAGATTTTAAGTTTGTTTTTCATTCGAATTGTACAGCTTGTATGTTATATTAAAGGTTGGGGGGGGGGAAATGTGATTCATCTTGGTCTGATTTTTTTTTATTAACATCTGGCATGTTGGCAAGGACGTGTGGCCTTTTTATAACTACCGTATAGGATACTACAAGCACTTTACAAATGCGGAAAGGGTTTCAGAGAGAAAAAGTCTTCGCGGAAGTAGCAGTCAAACCACGAAACCAGCAAAGCAGAGAAGGTCTGGCCTCCCTTGGACAGTGGTCAGATTGGGAGTGTTGAGTTAGATTCCTGCCCTGAGTTGAGGGTTGGACGCTGGGCCCCAAGTTGGTAGGTTGAGGTTTAGGAATTCTTCCAGGAAGAGTATTTGGCCAGTGGAACCACTGGCCCAGGTTGGTGTGGTGTCTGTTAGGGATAACATTGTTTACCCTAACTGGTTTGGGTAAAAATATTAAATATGGTATCATGGTTTGTTAGTTAAGGTGTGTGTAACTTTAACAGCAAGAATGTAATTAAGGGTGTGGTTGTAAAAGCACTATATATGAAGCGAGGCAAATGCAGCTCTCTCTCTCTCTGGCTTACTGAACCCTAATTACTGGCTGGCTTATTGAAGACTGCGTTCTTGCTGGATCGGGGAGGAGAAGAAGTGTTGGATTACTTTGAAGATATTTCTCAACGGAGAGAAGATAAGTTTTGGACAGATTTATTATATGTGTACTGACACTGGCTATTCAACACGGACTTTGCAAATAGAGTATCCCTGACAAGACTTGACTGATATGATATATGACTACTGGACTGTTTATTATGACTATGCTATAATTCTTAAATGGAATAAACTATATTCTTGATAGCACAAGCGTATCTGTATTTTTACTGCGTGTTAACTAGAAAACTTATCTCACACATTTACCTGTCTTCCTATCTGAAGCTGCACGTTCTGTTTAGTTTGTTTTCCTTAACACCCGTTGGGGAATCCAGGCTTAACAGTGTCCCTTCATTGGATAGGAGAGAAGCAATATAAATTACTCTTTTATAATCAATCTTATACAATAATACATTTAGCATATCAAACAGACTAGGAGATTCTTTCATTTCTTTAATGCTCTTGTCAGCTTTCTCTGTATTTGCATAAAACCCCTTCCCTTCTGTCGTTTCTATTTCTACTGAATGAAGTTATATCCTGGCCTGGTCATCCACATATAGACCATACATTCCACAGAGACGTGATACATTGTTAGAACAACAGGAAGATCTGACCAGGCTAGGGAGAATAAGATAAGAATATACATCAAAAGTGAAGCTTGGCAGCCCAGGAATAAGTAGAAGATAAAAACATTGAGGCCCACTGTCATGACGACCCCCCAAGTTGGTAGTTTAACATATAGAAAATAAGGGGGGGGCTTTTTAGGTGTGGCGTGTTCTGTGCCGGGATATAAAATGTATTGTTAAAGGAGTGAAATTTGCTCTCCTTGTACTCGATCCAATTGAGAAGAGTCTTGGAGGCCGCGCTTTCAACTACAATAAACACAGATCAATCATCTTTTCGAGAAGATGCCAGATTCCATACAGGTGGGATCCTTCGCTCTTGGAAGGAGCCACCTCGGAGGAGAAGAAAGGTAGAGTTGTGTGTGCAGGACTTTTCCCCTCCTTCACTTTTCCAATTTGCAAAAAAAAGTAACTTGTAGGGGGCGTGCATAAGCGCACCAACGTGCCTACCGTCCCTGTCCTATTGTTTCTCTTATTCTTCTTTCATTTTTCTTATATGTACCCATTTCATGTATTCACAACTATGTATACACTTATACTTATTATCTTGTAAACAATTGGCAAATCAAATAAATAAATAAATAAATAAATAACCCATTTGGAAGGGACCTTGGAGGTCCAATCCAACCTCCCACCATACCAGGCAAGTGGTAGTACCGGAGGAGGAGAAGCTCCGTAAGATTAGATTTACAACTTGGAATGTCACTTGTCTCTCTGGGCTCTTTCGTGAAGATCTGATCCTTTCCCAGTTAGGAAGTGGGAGGGACGAAGGTCTGGTCCTTTTCCAGTGGGAGGGACCGTGGTGGAAATTTTATGAGGCTCTTCTTGCTGATGCGAGGGAGGCCGAGATGAAGAGGGCAGGAAAGGAGCAAAGAACTTGCTTTCACTTCTGCTTTTGAACTTGGATGCTGCTGGCCTGGAGCTCAACAAACAAAGCCCAGAAGACCACCAGGATCTGTTGCTCCGGTCACTGCCACCCTTACACAGTACGTGATTTTTCTTGCTCAGGAAACGGAAAGTTTCTCATCTTGGAAACTGCAGAGCAAAAAGGGGATGTTGGTAATGTGGTCCGGAGGCGTGAACTAATAA